CCCTATGGCGCCAGCCATCCAGATGCATCTATCCACTGTCCACCAAGCTCCCTAGTGCGTATATTTCCATTTCCTTTATTAGCATAGTGTTCCATCTTTATTTTTATCATGTTTTCTCACTCATATATATATTTACATACCTACTCGGTAGCGCTTTGGCTCCGCATGACCGCGCTTAGGCGCGCTATATAAGCGCCAGCAGTACATACTATTACTCACCTTTCACACCTTACTTTTCCCAAAAACTTACTAGTTATCACCCACTATTTACTTAGCAGTACATAGTAGAAGTCTATTGGTCTACACTTTGCATCTATCTTTTCTTATATTGCTTTATATCATCACTTAAGCTTAGTCTCTTTTATTTCCGCTTACGCGCGCGCGCTTTCCCGCGCTTCGCGCTAATACGCGCGCGCGTTCCCGCGCCTTCGTACCTTGCGCGCACTTGCGCTTTCTCACGCTTCGCTGAAGCGCGTACCTCTAGATCTTCGCAGCACTCGCTTCCCCTAGGGTCGAACGCACTTGTCTCCTCAAGAATAGCAGACTAGGTAACGCGCGACCTCACAACATTTTATAGATACAGTTAGGAGCATCCTTGTTCCTCATTGTATTGTTGTTTCTACAACGAAACATATAAATAATGGTTCGAATTCCTATGAGATACTCCGCTAAGCCGCGTTGCGTTGTCACGTGCGTGTTTCACGCGCCAACAATCAATTCTACCTGGTCATGTTTATCTGCAGAGTTTCTCAATAGGTGGCCAGTGAAGGACATGTTATGGCCTTCCTAGTGCTGCCATGGTCCAGTTCGGTCCAGTTCTCGAGGGTGTTTTGTCGAACACTGAACTGAACCTTGGGTCTGGTTCAGGCATGGAGGGCGAACGCTGGACCGAACCCTTATGAACATGTTCGCAAATGTTCAGTTCGAGTTCAGAACACGTTCGAACATCTGAATGCAACATATAAATTTCAAAAAAAAATCGAGAACTACATGAAAAATTTGATGAGTAACTACTAACTACACCATATCCATGACATAGCATTCATGAGCTGTGGCAAACTCAGCTTGAGCCATCGCAGAAATATGGCCCTGACAATACCCACTCTTCAATAGTTGAAGGGCCTCAAAAGTTGACAGCAACAAACAATTATGGTGTGAAGTCCTGGTGATCCCACCACTCGAAAAAGCTTGTTTGGATGCAACGGCAGAGCCTTGAATAGCTAAGTAGTCCTTAGCAATGTGAGAGATAGTTGGATATTGAATTGAATGATGCTAAGGACATTTATGTCAACTTGTAAGGAATAGCGATTCGAAAAAAACACTCACACCCCACCAAGCTACTATGTTCTCAATGTCCTCTAGTGGGAAAGCCAGATAGTCTTCAAGTTCTTGATGAGGCCTTTGGCTTGCAGTGTCACTCGCAATGCGGGATTGAACAGCCTCGCACATCCAACTGTGGCCATATGAGCCTTGGCATGCAAGAGAGGGAGGAGCCACCACAGCAGGCTCTGTGTCTGGTAAGGAATTGTAATGATAGTATGTGTCGAAAACGATCCACAGGTGTCTCATGCCCTTGTTGAAGTCGTGGGGCTCCCATTTGCTCTTCGCGTACGCAACCTTGTAGTTGGGATCAAGCGCTAGATACAAGGTAGTACATTAGATAGGGCATTATATTAATCAAAACATGTACCAAGACAAATAAAATACACATTGGTTTCATCAATTTTGTGATACCACTTGCAAAGATTGTCGATGCCAGAGTTAATGGTGGTTGAAAAGTCCGCAAACTTCAAAGACCCGGCCATATTTTGCCAGGTTTGTTGGAGGAATTCAAGCACTGGGATTGCGCGCCATACTGTGCTGTGGGTTCACGAGTCGCAGAGAACGATTGCTGAGCATTTGCAGGCTCCTGGTAATGCAATAAGTTAATAAAAATTAAACTTGTCAATGAAGAAGCACGCACCTGAAGCATGTCGTGCATCAACTCTAACTTCTTCCATTCCTCGGCCAAGAGCTTGAATGCGCCATAGGACTTGCCCTGCAGGTTTGGAACTTCATCACTATCATCAGCGAGCTGTATAAACCTATTCACACCCTGCCGATAGAGTTAGTAATTGTTTGTAGGGACAGTAGCAGTAAACTTACCTTATGCAACTTGAGGGTGCACTCCAACATGCCAAACAGTGAGGCCCATCGAGTGCAAATCCATTTTAAGAGCTCGAGGTTGGGCTCGTTGACCTCAGCACAGCACTTTTGGAAGAAGGTGTGGGCTTGGGGAGATTTCCGTACCTAAATAAAGGGTTCCTCAGAGCACAGCTACCCAGACGAGACACTAACTTACCTGTGTAATGAGTGCAAGGGCTTTGCCCACAGTATCGGCAACATCAAAGTCTACATCGTTGTCATCTTCATTGGTCTTGTTCCTGATGAGAACACTTGCAGGGGTAGGTGCAACCTCTTCAACGAAATGTTTGGCAGCCAGATGTAGGGCGTGCTCCATACAACTGAAAAGATGTTAGCATATAATAGAATGTGATATTACTATACACAGTGCTCTCCTGCAACCCATTCCTAACCAGATGGGTCAATAGTGAGTGCAACCGTCTGAATTGCTGTGTCATTATTGGTGGCGTTGTCGGCCGTGAACCATCCAACCTTGGTGTGAAAGTTGTAGTTATTGATAGTTTCAATTAAAATCCTTCCAATATTGCTACTGCTATGGTTGCTGTTGATGATCGTGAATGCGAGCTGCTCGCTCTTCAACTCCCACTCCTGAGGCTTACCATCTTGGGAGTCAATATAATGCGCGGTGATGGAGAGGAAAGGCACGCCTGGTTCAGATGTCCATGAGTCAAAGGTGACAGAAATTTTGCTGTTGATGTTCTTAAGATTCTCTTTGACACGTTGCACAGCAAGCTTAGCCCGTTTGAGTATTTCATCACGAGTCTTCATGCAATGGGGGATATCCTTATCCAACAGGGAGGGCTGAAGGTATTGAAGCAGGCGACGAAATGGACCCTTATCAATGAGTTGGAACACCTAGTATAAGTATTTTAAGTCACAATCACACGAAACAAAAGATCACAGCCACGCACCTCATCCTCAGAGACAATGAGCTTGACAATATAGTCCATCAGGCCGGACTTTGTAAACTCAGGAATCTTAGTTGTAAGGGTGCCATCCAACATTTTCTGGGCTGTATCAGTTGCTTTACAGCCAGGTGGTATTGCACGATCGTGCATCTTGATGCCTCACTCACTGCACCGGTCTCGATAGATTGGGAAGTGGCATTTTGCATTGCGAGCAATATGGGTGCGGCGAGTTGATACACTGCCTTTGAAAAAGGATTGATTGGCCAGTACATCATTAGCTCTATAGAATTTACATCAGTAATCTGCTCAACGTTCAACATCAAAATGAAAACACACCTGCATATCTCACATCACCAGCCATCTTTGCGTTCTTGGGTGTGCGGATTGATGCAACCTTTCTCCTGAGTAAATACTACCTTCAAATCTCCACTGCGCTCCTCTTTCTTCATGTGCTTGCGATCTTCACAATCCTCATCTCCAAACACCTTGGTCTTTTGGTAAGCTTCCTCTTTGTTGATATCCTCATCCTCTTCCTCGTCATTAGAAGGCGGTTCATCGTCATCATCATCATCATGGAGATGGGAGCCAGTGTGCACTCACTTCAATGCAGGATGGTCTTGAGGATGTGCTGGAGCGGATCATTTGATTGGAGCTGTGTTGACATTTTCTCCGTCGGTTTAATGGCTCGACCAGAGCGACGAGACACAAAGGCATTCAGCTTGCCATGGGATGTAGAAGGCGGAGGTGCGGGAACCATGGGGGATTCATCATCAGGGTTATTGTACCAGTCAATAGTGCTAGCATCTTTCAGTTTTCTGTCTGATCCAAGTGCACATGACATTGTGGCAGTGGGAAGCCTGAAGATTGAACCTGTAGTAGCTCGTTTATACCAGAATTTGTGATAATATCAGAAATATATGACACACCTTGAACATACTGTTGCCATGGAAGTGAAAATCCTGAAGATATGTTCTGGTTATAATGTACATTAGAATTTAAATAATGGTGAACATTGGCCTTACTGAAACATCCAGTAGTTTACTGAGGAAGTTGGATGTCACCATTAGAAATGTGTTGAAGTCAGAGCCGGTCTTAGTCGTCCCGAGATCAGGACTGACAATTGCCATGCTTGTTGCCAATCAGAGAATATATTAATTAGTAGATGGCTAGCAATAAGGGGGTCAAGTGGATCTTACAAAGAACTTCAGATTCAAGAATGATTTGGACAAGTCCGGACACATTCAGGACGCATTCGCACATTTCAGGCATCAGCCGAACGCCGAATGTAATAATGTATTCAGTCCTTACAGTATGCCGAACCTAGGACTGAACCTACAGTCTGGTTCGGAAAGGTTCAGGTCCGAACCAAAGTTCTGAACCGGACCTCGGCAGCACTAGGCCTTCCAGGCCCTTTTTGGACACTCTAACCCATCTGGAGTTGTATTCTCAAGGCAGAATGAATGTGCACAATGGTACATCCTATACAAAATGATTTGCTGACTGCTCTATTAACAGTTTGTCAGAAATTTCTGAAGGGTCCTTGCAAGGCTGCTATATTTAGACCGAATTGTGATGCCTGCCAACTGTATTGCATCCGAGTTGCAAGTCAAACTGAGTCGTCAGGCAGTGTCTCACAAGGTGCCATATGAATTCCAAGGCAAGCTGACAAAGTTTCAAGGGGCTTGGAAATCTTAATAATAGACTGATGTTACAGTCATCACACCTATTATTACTACTCCAATACAACTGCCATCAACAATAACCACTATCTGTGTCTCTAACTGTTGTTCCATACTGTATTCTACTTGGATGTCTGGACTGTCATCTACCAACAGACATGCATATATATGGTCCTCAACATCATCTGCACAAGTGCAATGTAAGTTTTGTAATGAGCCTTTCTCTTGGCTAAAAAGCAATCTCGAATGCATGATGGTCAGCATATTTGTTTACATAGTAAAACCGGAAAGAATCGTAGGAATAATGAAACTTAAGGTCGCAAGAAACAAAATGTGTACCATAGACAGGGATTAAATGAGCTGCACGATAAATAGAATCAATATGGATGATGGAGATATTGGGGGAGTGGTTGGGAGCAAACCCTGGGCGAACAACCCACAAACCAGTGTCTTCATCAGCGGAGTCACCAACAGTGTCGAACCAACGGATCACTGCACAAGGAAAGGTAGACCCTCTAAAAAAGAATGAAAAGAAACAAAGAACATGTGCCACATCAAGCCCCCGCATTCCCTCTAGTTCTGGATTCGTATTGACAAATACACAGTCATATCAAGGAGCCTCATTCTGCCAAAGAGGGCATGCCCAAATGTATTCGGTGCGCATTCTGCCAACCCCACTAATGTCACTGGGTGCATAGAATCTGGATGATGCTGAATTGAAGATAGAAATCCCGCCATCATAGTTGGGGAACTGAAACTCGGGAATGTCAGAGAGGTCCTGAGGGTTGTTGGGGTGCAGTTGTTCAAAAAGAAATTGATGGACAAGGGCAGATAATTGTGGTATCCCCAGTTCTATTGCGAGGGCAGGAACTGTTTTTGCCTGGTTTTGTTCTACGAAATTTTAAGATGATGTAAAAGATTTAGTTGAAAAAAAAACATATGTGGTGTTTGAGCAAGCTGTACATGTGCTTGAACGAATGTGGGACCATCGTCGACTTCACCATTTTCATTGCCCTCCAATTCATCCTTGTCTCTGTTGTGCTGAGCATTCTTGTTCGGATTCATGACGCCATGGCAGTCTGCATTGTGAGCTTCCTGGATTTTTTCTATCAAGATGTAGTTAATTGAGACGTTTCAAATGAGCTAAGACTGAGACGTACGAAGTGCTTCAAAGACTGCAGACAAAACTGTCCCATTCATCATCCCTCAACTTGTAAAGTCAGCCCGCATAGCGGCAAGCTTATCCAGCTGCTGGTTGGTTCGTAGCAGAATTCCGGCGGACGTTCGAGAACAAGAGATAAGACTAATACGGACGTAGTCCGAACTAGAAAGGAAACAGCAGAGGACTACCAAAGGTAGAGGCGGAGGTGACAAGTCGATAGGAATCAATCCTAAGACGAGCGGAGGTCGACGAGAGGATAACTCAAGTCGGACAAGGAAGGAATGAGCAGAGTCTAAGATAATATTCGAACTGAAGATGTACATAGATTCTACAGGGTTTATATACTACTAAGATGCGAAGTCCGAAGCTATACAAAGCGGTGGACGGAGCGTATAGAAAAGTCAAACACTAGTCTATCGGAAAATAGTTAAATGAACCCGGAGATTAGATCAGAGGAAAATAAAGGGTGGAAATGAAACGAGGTACGGAAAATGATTTAGTCTAACCGGAGTAGGAACATACAAAGGGATAAGGCACGGAACTTTAGACGCGGGTCGGATCCGGACATAGATAGATGTCGGCCGGATCCAGATATCCGGAAATGATATGTGATAAGTCCAGGTCCGGAATGCGGGATATGACAGAGTCTATTTTTATTGATTCTGACATATCTCCGGCCCTTATGACCATATTTCGTATTTTTCTGTCATGGACCCTTATATTACATATTATCTCATATCCACTTCGATTCTTGGTTCGCTTTAGTGCTTGACAGCGCTTATCATTACTTAGTATATATACACACGCCTAAACTGTATAATATCTATCTTTCTGCCCGCACATCATTAAACTCTAAGTCTAAGTCCTCCTTCACATCTTTCAATTAACTCTAAGTATCTAAATACAATACAAGCGCCCGCCGCTGTACATTACTAGAGAAACTCTGTCAAATTAGTTTTCTGACTCATTAAGAGTCACTACGCTTCATCACCTGCATGCGCGCATCGCTTCCACTTAGCGCGCGCTTCTGTTATAAGTCACGCGCCGTCACTTATCGTCGGTGTGAAGAAGAAATAGTGACTGGCTAGCAAGTAAGCTAGAGCACTAATAAAATCCTACTGAGTGCGGGTGTGCTATATCGACCCAAGAGGATTGCTATCAAGCACTTCCTTCAAGTATAATGCAAAGGGAGTAGATGCAGAACGCGAAAGAATGAGCGTGATTTAAGGAAAGTGAGGCTGATGATGAGAGCGAAGGCGAGAACGCGAACCCGATGAAGGTGCGATGAGAAATGAGCGAGAGCGAGAGGTTACTAGGTAATGTGCAGTTCCATGGGTAGCGGCTAGGTATGGACGAGGGTTATAGCTGAGGTATAACTAGGTATAGAATGCTAAGTCTGAACCCGCATACAGAACAGATTCGTGCAGAGCCTAGGTAAAGAACTTAGATGTGCACTCTCCAGAATGCGCGGGTTCAAGTAAATGAGAATCAAAGCTTGTCAATTGGTCAAAGATACTAAGAACGTCTAAGTGACTTCGCAAAACAAAGGGATAGCATCCGAGGGAAGGGAAGTACTTTACTGTATGTAACGCACGAGATTATATCCTACTGCATGAATGTCCGGAACCCATAGGCGAGACTTGTAGTGATGAAATGAGGCAGATAAGTAATATGTAATGCGAACGCGCGCAGAACAAAACATGCGGATACATGTAATAAGCCATACTACATCATTAGTCAACCCAAATAGAAATGAACACGCACCAGCAGAACTCGACGGACATGGAAGGACATGGACGGACGGACGGAAAATCGGACCCGAGAACGGAATACCATTGGATTAGGTGCGACCAAGGAAGGCTTCATTGTTAGAGGCATTAGGAATGATGTGAGCTGGTAACTTCCTATATCTCCTGACACCAATATGAAAAGACACCTGTTCCCACTCAACACAGGTCTGAGCGTCACATCGGCCGTCATCACTCATCAAGCGCCTCATGTCGCTAGCGCTTTGCTCATCATCGCATGCCTTACCAGGCTTGACCAAGCGCCTGGTCCAGTGTTTCCCTCCACATATACACTTAGAGGAACCTTCTCAGTAGCAATCCCCTTGGGCCGACGTATATCTTGCTCATCAAGGACTACTTGAGTATATCTCATATCACTATATTACCCCACTTCCCATTCCTCTTCTACACCGATTTCAAACAGTTTATTTACGAGCCTTGGATGGCAGATCGCTGGTGGCGAATTCAAGTATGCATTATCATGTATTTGTGCTTTGTATCGACATGCTGCTAATCAATGTATCATATCTGTACTCAATTCATTGTAGTCATCATTGCTGAACAACAGTGTTCTGTTTGCTTTCATCCTCTACACTGACAAAACCCATTTAACCTCATCTGGACATGTGAAGGCATACCCAGTAATCACCCATTGTGCGAATCTTCCTGTTCACATAAGAAATGGTGATGGAATCGGAGGAGGCCATGTGGTTGGCTGGCTACCAATTGTACGTGTTTGAGTACTAACAGTAGATACTCATCAGTCCTTTGTATTGACATGCACAAGGACCCTACAGATTCTAGCGAGGATGGCAAGCTCAGCTACACAAATCTCAAACATGTCATCTGGCATGCAGCATTCATTAAGTTGTTGGAGTCCATCACCCCGTACCCCAAAACAGGGTTTGCACATATATGCTTTGATGCTGTCATGTGGTGGTTATACCCACTAATTCTACTTCTATCTGCAGATTACGAAGAACAGTATGTAGTATTCTCAAGGCTTACATTATGTTTTGATAGCTCACATCTTGACAGATGTATTATGGCGCTAATATGCGGGCTACATTCAAACTGTCCCTGCCCTATGTCTCATTCCCTCGACCAAACTTTCTGATCTCAGTACAGTGTATCCTACTTGAACCATCGAGGATGTGAAAGCTTTCTTAGAGTTGTGTTCAAGGGACCGTGTTGCTGGAGAAGCAGTACTGAAGGCACATGGCTTACGTCCTGTTGTGGTTCATATTTTAATTGTTTTCATAAGCTATTATCTTAGTTAATACTACTGTCAGAATGCGCTCTGGGGAGTTGAGAACTCTAATCCTCATGAGACACTCTCGTTTGATCCCTTACATGTCAATAATATCGGTAACTGGGGCACCCACTTTTTTGAGGAGCTCAAAATATGTGTGAAGGCTCTCGGTCGTGAAGCTGAGGCAAAGATTGATGAACAGTACATTTCATCATTGCTTTGTGCATTATATCTATACCAAGACTCTGCAGGTTCGACACATTTCCGTGATGGCATAATTTAAACCATTTCAAGTCTGCCATGAAGATATTGTTTAGTGATGGCAACAAACTTAGGGATATCGCTAAGGTGAGCACTAATATTATTCGCTGTTATGTCTCAATCAACCTTCTAACATCCTGGACTCTAGCAAATGCTGTATGCAGCACAAAACATATTGACAGACAATGAAGATACTGTTGGCTATGCGCTGTTGCAGTGTATAGCCAGCTACCTACAACTGACCATGTACATAATGCTTGATGTGCACACCAAAGCCACACTTGCTGCTGGAGAAGCGGAGCTTCTAGTGTTCAAAACGCACCTACATGTAACTATATATCATGTTTCCTTCAACTTTCAGCTATATCTTAACACATTTTCAGGCATATATATTTAACCAAGAACTGGAAATTTCCGAAGGTGCATGCCCTGACGCATGCTTTCCCTGACATCTGCACAAAAGGAGCAGCACGCAACTTCAGTACTCGACCGAATGAGAAGCAACATGGACCATTGAAGCGAGCATACTTGCGTCAAATGAATCATAAAGATGTTGTCAATCAGGTACACTGTCCTTTAATTCAAACTGCTTGTGATACTAACATATTACTATACAGGTCCTCAAGCTTGATCATATCAGTGTAGTTTCTGAATTGGTCCGCAGTCATATTTCCCACCTCGATGAAGATCAGTGCAAATGCACGATGTCACAGGGAGAACTCGAAGACAATGATACACTAGATGATCAGCCATTTTTGGGCCATCCCCACGTCAGTGCTCCTCAAATTCCTGTCACTCTCGCTGCAGTGGAGGAAGGCAACACATCAAACCGCGCATTTCAGGATTTCCGAAAGAAGTTCACGAAGTTCCTCAATAATTTCATTGTTTCAAACAACATTCCTTTGGATGGTGTTACGTGGTTGCGGCCTACAGCTAACGATAAAGTTGTTTCATTCATCTACATCCTTCTAAATGTCTACTGATTATGGTTTTTTTTCATCACAGCTTCAAGAATATTGCTACCTCAAAGTAAACTACGAGTCTACTGTCGACTGGAGACTGACCACTGACTATCTCCAATGTAATCCGAGCTTCCATGGGTGTGAACATCGTGATTGCGCCATGATATGGACCCTAGACAAGGATGGGAATGACAAGAATATCTTTGTCCGGATATTGTTCATGTTCAAGTTTACGGTCAGCAATCACACTTTTGAACTTGCATTAGTCCTACCCATGGATGCTCCCACTGGTTCAAGACAAAGCACGGATCACGATCTGGGACTAACTCGTCTTCAGGCACGACCTCTAGCTTCATTGGAATTTATTTCCTTACAATCTATCATTTGTGGCGCTTTATTGGTGCCAGATTATGATTCCAATGGTGATTTTTTCCTTGTCAATCTTGTAGACACAGATATGTTCCTCCATGCGAAGAGTTTGAGGTCTAGGTAGAGAGCTACAAATATGAGTGAGTCTTATCAGCTTGCATGTGCATTACTAGATGATACTAATAGTTATTACAGAATGATTATGTGCAACCTGTCATAGACTTTACATATATTATTACTATAATGTATGCACACGCAGATTCTTCGGCCAAGAAGATGCATTTCATGTATGGATGAATGACTCAGTTGGATGTAGGCTAATATATAATACAAGTGCTATTACTATAATGTATGCAGACACGGATTTGGCCAAGAAGATGCATTTCATGTATGTCGGATGAATGACTCAGTTGGATGTAATAGGATGATAGATAATATATAGAATTACTATAATGTATGCACACACAGATTTGGCCAAGAAGATGCATTTCATGTATGGATGAATGACTCAGTTGGATGTAGGATAATACATAATACATAATAGCACCACAGTTTTTGTTTGCAGGAAATTAATGAACTCATGGTCTTTTCTTGGTGCTGTCTGTCTCTCCTGTCGAACTGCAATTGTAAATCTCTCTGTTCTTATTATATTACAATATGTAGATACATGACAGTACATAATAACATGGCATGATGCGTAATCTAGTCGAAGAGACTGAAACCCTGTAGACCAGCACGTAAAATTTGTGCAAACCAAGAGCAACTTACCATGTCATCGTCAGACTCCTCCTTCTCTTTGGCCTTCTCTGAGAAATTCAGAGTGCGCGACCAAGACAACGGTGGGGTAGTTGAGGGCAAGTGAGATGGCAGCAATGGTCTGGATACTGGACAAGAAGTGGTCGATGAGCACCGACCTGGACCTCGACCGAGATTTCAATAGTAATACCATGAGTGATCTTGGTAGGGATACTGAGGGTCTAGAAGGAGGTCTTTCCGGACTCCATACTGTCAGTGTTTCTGTAATAGTAATGATAATAATATGATAAATGGTTCAGACACACTTGATTCACTGCAGAAACGAGAAATTCACCTGATAGGGTTGAGGTAGAAGTAGTGGTGATTGACACACTCACTTCCTGCGACTGGCAGGAAACAACTTCGATCAGCATGGCTTGAGCTCGAAGGAGGACCTAGACACTCACTTCCTGCAACTGGCTGGAAACGACTTGGATCAGCATGGCTGGAGCTCGAAGGAGGACCGAAACACTCACTTCCTGCGACTGGTGGGAAACGACTTTGATCAGCATGGCTCGAGGTCGAAGGAGGACTGACACATTCATTTCCTGTGACCGGCAGGAAACAACTTTGATCAGCATGGCTCGAGCTTGAAGGAGGACCGACACACTCACTTTCCGCAACAACACAACTCCGGGTGCAGACATGTGCAAATGAGCACACGCAAGTGAGAATGAGTGCAGATGGGTGCAAACATGTGCGGATGAGCACAAACAAGTGCAGAAATGAGAAAACAAACTAGAATAACTAAAAATGAGTGAGAACAAGTTAGTAGTATAACAAGGTGTTTGTTATAGACATGAAACGAGCGTCCTGAGGTGAGTTGACTTTGGGTGTGAGAGGTTTAATCACAGGGCCTTTAATATATACAACATACAATAACATTTATACCAATGAGACTCAAGCCTCATAATGTTTTCAAGAAGTTGTACAATTTGCCCTTGTTCAAATCTATCACTTTTATGTTGTCTATTGTCTCAAAGTTCAAATAGATCTTTTTTTTAGTGAAACATTATACTAAGCCTTAGTTTAGAGCAAAGTTTATTAAATTTTTGTACAACTTCTTGAAAACATTATGAGGCTTGAGTATCATTGGTATAAATGTTATTGTATGTTACATATATCAAAGGGGCTATGGTGCAGCTGGTAACTATGTGTTCTTACTTGAGCTCGTAGTAATTCAAGTTCAATTCCTGCCTTTGGCATTTTAAAATGCCAAAAATGCGAATTTGTTTTGGTTTATTTACTACATTGCTGGGATGTTCTGTACAGAAGGGACCAAGCTGTGGCACTGTAGCGCTGTACAGCTCAGAACATTGTAGTTTTAGTTTGCTGATGTGAAGCTCCACAAAATGATATCACTGGTGCTGTAATCGCATGTGAGACACTAACTGCGTCGAATCGCATCGGCAAACTCACCCACTACTAGGCTACTAATATTTGCAATGCCTTACTATGATCCAGATAAAAGCTCTGATCACAGCTCGTGTAGCTCTGGTTACAATGACAGTGCGGCGCAAATTCTTGGAGGTGGAGACTCACCTCGCATCAGATTGTGCTTTCCAGCAAATGGCCAAGGAGCACCAGCAGACTCTGAAGGAAACTACGACTACAACAAGATATACCCAGAGTATCAGCCGCCGGGCCTCGATACCCAGGAGACATTAGATTCCGCAAAGTTGCGGTCACCGTCATCGAAGGCGCACAGCATTTCAGCAGGAGATGAAGTGCCTGACCGGGTGGTGTGTCACAGTGTCTTTCACTAAATTACAACCAACTCACTTCATTTTTCCAAGCATCCTGTTGATATCATCCCACAGCCCAATTTGAAGCGTGCGCTGTCAAGTGAATCCAAGCCTGATGAGGTGAGTCTTCCTCACTCTGTCAATATGAATAAAAATGTAATCTGCGCACACTCAGAATCGACACTTTGCTGATGTTATCACAAACTCTCCACGACGGGCCAAACCACCTCGTAAGAAGCAGCGGGTCACTTTGCAGCCTGGCAGTGAAGCTACCACTGCAAATAGAGCTGCGGTGTCAGGGAATCTTAGGTTGGGGGAAGAAATTGTTGAAGTGCTTTGGGAGCAAATTGCTGTCCTAGCACGCGTCCTCGAAGTCGTGTCCCAGTCTGAGTGATGAAATTAATTTTGATGAAGAGAGATCTTGGAAGGCGAACACAACATATTTCAAACTGTCACATAGTATTGTACTTCTATCAAATACATCCTGTGTTCTTCATCTTCCTCACAGCGACGTTGCCCATCTTCATGGTTATCATCCTGTCTGTCTTCCTCAACCTCGTTGTCACCTTCCAGGGCATGAAGGACGAGACACTCTGCGATGTAATCCTGACTTTCACAGTCACGCTCGATATGACTGCGCATGCTTTTCAGGTGCATGACAAGCCGCGGCCCAGTCGACATCGCACTTTTACAAGCGGACATCATGGAAGCCAAAGACCGTGTGGGAGGGCATGCGTGTATTCGAGCGGGCACAGAAATGTGACCTGGTAATGATGAGATATCTTGTTCGAAACATTGACATACTTGCCTGATGATTCCTGGCACGACCATCATAGGCGCCTGGCCAGATCGTCAGATTGCGTCAGGTTACGCCAGGCCTGATATGGTATTTCGCATTTTTCCGACACCGCTGAATGGTGGAGCCTGAGGCAGTCTAAGCGAGGATAATGGCCCGATATAGCTTGAATGGGAGCTACTAAGACTTAGCAGTACATACTGCTGAGTCAAGTTAGAGGAGAAGTTCAAGTTCAGATTTTAGTCGGAAGTCAGTTTCAACGGTCTGGTCACACTAGTACTACCTAATTTGCACAAATTCCCGCGCCACATGCATGTGGGCGCAAGGCCGCGGCAGTACCCTGTTTTATTCTATACGTCTTGCTTAAGTATACAACTTGACTCAGCTCTGCACATAATCCGACACCTCCACCATGATCCCCCTCACGCGACGGTTTGTACTGTCGCATTTATAACCCTCACCCAACATCTATCACCCCTGGGTTCTCAGCCTGAGGCTGACATGATTATCGCCCTGGATCAGCCACCATGGTCACTGATGGCGGCCTACATTCGTGTCGGTCGGACTTGCGTTAGCCTTGCCAGTACTACTCTATGCCTGACTCGAGCCGCTGGCATCGTGTCGACTCGGAGTCGGATCGCAACCTGTTATCATTCAACTGTATAATTAATTTTTTTGGGTAGGCATAGCCAATATCCTACTAAGATCTAAGTGCGGTTTGAATGGAAAACTTCAACATCGATGCGGGGGTATTTGAAACTTTAACATCGCATTTAGAAAAAAAAAATGGGCGCAGCTTGGCGGAGGCTGGAGCTTACACAGATGGTCATGGGCTACCGCCCAGGTCGCTTAATTCAGGTAGTAAGTGTTATGTTACTTCGTATGATTAGCTTCGAATGGCTTGCAATAGGAGTCAGGGACTGGCTCACAAGCACCGCTATGAATATGTAAATGCCGCTACATGGAGTCAAGAAGGTTTGAACTTCTAGATAATCTGTTCGGATGCATGTGCCGCATCATGATCATTCAAATTATGACTCCCTCCAAGGTGGGAAATCGGAGTCATCTGAGACTCGAAATCGAAACCCTTGTTTTGTCGATTTCGGGGCTATGATAACATCATGATCTGGAGTTTGAGGGCCGGCACATGTCCTGAAACGATCAAGTGAATTATCCCAGTAGCCATTATCATCGAATTGAAAAGTGTGGCACGCCTTGAGTTACATATTATAGTACTATTAGATTGGGCTATGCCTTATCTGACTCGGAGTCGATGATTGCTGCCTTGACTTCGCCGCGTACCATGACTCCCTAACCCTAATGATTAGGTAAGCAGGTAAGTGCGGCTTCTTCCTGCTTGTTCAAAGCCAGGCTTCAGTTAGATGCCATCATCATGTTCTCTACAGTTCCCATCAACAGCAGCAGATATTCTCCTGTTTTACGCAATAGCACACGAAGCAACTCTGTAGAACCATCTTGTGGCAAGCGTCCTTCAACCAAATCAACCACCTCAGTGGGTCGTTCTACCATCCAGGTTTCAAGAAGCCCCGCAGCGCAACCCATAGCCTCAGAGCCAGTTGGAAGAGGTCTCTGTTTTGACTTCGCCTCCAACTGCTGGACCTTCAGTTCCTCTGAAACATCCTTCTAGTGAAGCAATAGCTACAGGTAACTTGTTGTATCTCATCCTCATCACTTCAGCTGATCATCTTCAAGTTCAATGCAACCAGGTGCTCGATTTCATTGTCCGGAAAAATCGTGAAAAATACTCCACGGTACGCAATTCGAATTGTGATTCAATCGGTAAAGCTGACTACTACATCAGGTGTTTTCCCGTGTAACTCCACGTCAATATAATAGTATACTGCACGCTTCAGAGAAGCTCGCAGGAAAACCAAGGTGGGCCAATCGCCATGACTCCTCACACGTTATCACTGATCCACCGTACGTTTAGATTAGCTTACGACTTTGAAACTCTTCGACTCGAAGTCGACATGCCTTCGTGTGTGCACGATTCCGCCACAAATGTCATCCGACGTGGTCTGGAGTCCGTCGATAAGATGCTGCATGATCTTATCGCTGCGCGACTCATACATAGTGAAATACATCCCAGCTTGACGCTGAACACTGGAAAGAAGGAGTTTGTTCCCGACTGCGTTCACGTCATCACAGCCCGCTGTAAACCCCCCGTTGTCAAGATCCTGTCCATCGTCGAAGTCGCGTTTTCACAATCAGAGGCTGCACTTCTGGATAGGTTCCGAAACGCCATCAAATTCAAACACCATCAAATTCTATCCAGAGCTGGGGATGATCTTAATGCTCGTAATCAACGAGACCCCTCCCTTCCTGTCACCTAAACCCTTGGGCCACACTTGGAGAAAGTTACGTCCGAGAGACGATAAGCCCCACCACTCAGCACTCGCGTTCCTTTCCTTGCGAGATGAACCTCAGTCTTTTGACGAGCCCACTCCTGTTATAGTCGAAGGTCACTCCTGGTGCACGATCACTGACATCCAAGTACAGGTATGGGTTCGAGGGCGCAGGGGCGCAATCAACATAGATACCAAAGACAGTCGCTTGACGGCCCGCGGAGTAAGTCATTCATGCCTTATCGTGTTTCACTCATATAAGTGAATAATTTTGACAGAGTTTATTTCCCGTCTATAACGAAGCGGCAATGAAGGACGTGACGTTGATGGTCATGAAAGGACTCGAGCTTACAAGGGACTGTTTTGTAGAACAGTGCCGCCTTGCAGACAGAGACGCCAGTGTTTCTAATCTCCGCTCTGCTCAGCTTCCCCTCCCCTTCAAGTGGGAAGACATTGTGGACGGCCTTACATACGCAACGCAGGCAACTGCTCATGCTCGGTACCTAACCTGGTACCACAACATACTTGAAGAACAATCAGAAGAATACGTAGAAGTCACTGGCAAACGCACAGCAGATGAGGCGGAGATTGATACCCCTGATGATGGACGTCTAGTTCGCCCGCGCATTGGAATGAAAACCCGTGCTGCTGCTCGTTCAGCGAGCTACGGGTAGAATGACCTCATTGCATATTTTTTTCACCGGTCATGTAATGTCTTGTACTCTAGTTTTTTTTGTATGATCTTCAACTCGGACTCGGATGTATTGGATCTGTATCACGATGGGATTGTGCGCACAGGAACTACTCAATAATCTATACTACACATTCATCAGTGAAAAGCAGTTGCCAGTGCCACTGACAGTCCAAGTTGTACTTACAGAGAGATGTGGCGAAGGCAGAGCGCTCCTTGTCAAGCCTTTCCCTCGCCTCATGGAAGGACTGACACCAACAGCGTCCAGCACCTTTATCCCCGTGTTGTCACAAGCAAGTCTGAGGAAACCTTTCAACTGGACCACCGGTTCATTCGTGCTCTCGAATATCTCTTTGACTTCCAGGCTGTTTGGAAGCTCAGCAGTGTGGCTTGCCTAGTAGGGATATCACGATATGGACCGTTTATCAGCTCCAAGAAATAGAGTGACAGAGGTACGACGCCCGGCGCACCTTAATATTTAGCCTGTGATTCTTCACTGAAGACGTATCCTTCAAGCCCGCTGTCACCCTCCTGCAAGCTTCCATCGAGGTTGAATCCCCAGTGCTACTAATTGGATGATCAGCACTTATTTACATTGAGACAATTCAGATGAGTACTTGTGTTGATTAAAGGGATTACTACGCTCTCGTTCGCTAACCTTGCCCTGTACAAGATCACAGGTAGTAGTACTGTGGCAGTCACCAGGTACCTCTCAGCGGTACAGACCGCTGAGTGGTTAAGCCAGTGGATAACTAGGGAGGAAAGACTCAGTAGTACATACCACTGAGCCCGAGCCCTATAGTATCTGCTTCTTGCTTGAATGCCAGTATCACCGTCACTGGCACGGTACTGAGGCTACGCAGTACGGACTCTCGGCGGACTCGGAGAAGTTCAAGCAAAGTCGTCTGACTTCGGCCCGAATGATACGGTGTTGCTGACTCATCATGTGATTCTGTTCACAGACTTTCAACTTGAACTCCTCGCCGGGCAGATCTAGCTCAGTATCACCACTGGCACGACGGTATGTACTGTCGTGTCTGTTCTACTTCTACTTCCAACTCGCGAGTGGTGGCAATCGATCTGGATCCCTGGCACTGCTGCCAGTGGCAGCCTCAGGCTGACTCGGAGCCTGGCGGCTGATACGACGGTAGTATGTACTGCCGTTTCATGCTTTCGTCGCCCTGCCACAATCCCTCTTGGAATGCCCAATCGGGGCCTTCTGAAGAGAAGGGGAAAACTGGTAAGAGGAGTTTGAGCGGTCTGACGTATCCCTGTCACTCGTACTGACGTTTTACATAGTATTATTAGCGATCCGAATTGCCAACAGCGTCAGCGATTACGTCGTTGGAGCTGGTTGTCCAAGCCGGTGTAGGGATTCATTTCTGGTTGGGCTTGTAGAGACTGTTTTTACCTTACCTTATGTTGGCACTTTTGTAGCTTACATAATCAAGCAATCTTTTCACCAGTTACCAGTATGAGTCTGAGAGATCAGCAAGTTTTTATGGTATTTCCTCTCCTCTGAGCCTTGAGCCTGGTCCAGAAACCCTTTAGGGTCGAATAGCAGCTAGGTTCTGCAAGACCCAACACATTGTTCAGACTCACCATCTGAATTGTTGTACCTTCACCGGGGTTTCCTGATGCGTAGTTCGGACACAGGGACTAGTACTGCTCACTGCCAGTGCTTCAAACATCGACAAATCATTGTGTTTTACAAACGATTTGTTTGACATGAACATTACCAGAACAGACCTCTACACACTGCTTTATCTCGCTATCTACCTTCTACATTTTTTAGTCATGGTCGGTCCCCGCCAACGGCAATGTGGACCACCATGCACTCGTGAGTTCTCTGATAGTGCAGGGCTTGGTCGACACCGTAGGGCTTGCGAGTATTACAAGCATCGCTTGGATTTACAGGCCCAGAATTTTAAAAGAGCTAGCGAAGATCCCAAGCCTGCCAGGGCGTTCAAAAAGATGAAACCTTGCCCTCCTAGCGATGCGGCCATACAGGTCAGTACTAGTAGTATTGCGCACTCGTATTTTTTACTGATAGCCTGATCATATTCAAGATTATACCCAGCCGCGAACCGGAACCATCAACTGGATCAGATATGCCCATCGACCACACACCCTCGGTGCCAAACCAACTCCACGCTGCAGCTCCCTCCCCATCTCATAATGTCACAGTTGATCATACTATGAATAGCTCAGATTCTCCTTCAGTCCCTTCTGATTTTGCAGACTGCAGTCGCAACGAATCACGCCAGTCGCGCCAACGGCGACTGCCACTACGATACAGAGATGAACTACCAGAACCATCGCCACCTGTTAGTCAGGACCCACCGGCCTCACTTCCTACTCGTGTCATTCTTCACGTTTTCGATTCCATCCGCACGTGCTTCAACAAATTTGGTATTGCTCGAGAGTATCGCCATCGACCGTCATACGACCCTGATGAATTTGTATCAGCCAACCAACTCTCCAACATATATCCCTGCGACCTCAGCGCAGATGGCGTGCCAGATGGTGAGGCCCTGCCCGGTTATCCCTCCCCACGTCAACCGCCTTGGCCTTGGAAAAATATGTCTATCTGGAGGCTAATGTCCTGGATGATGACTGGAAGTTCTCAGAAGTCACAGGCCAAGGTAACACGTCTAGTGAAGGACGTACTGCAAGCAGACGACTTTGATATCCACGATCTCAAGCATTTTGATGCCCACACTGAGATGGGGCGTTTCGACGCTGCTGAAGACAGTGCCCCCAAAACGAGCCTTCTGGAAGGTGATGGCTGGAAGCAAGCTGATGTGGAGATCATGGTTCCCTCAAAGGAGAAGAATCGCAACGGGAATGGGCGTCCGTTCTCTGTATCCGGTCTCTTCTACCGGCCGCTCATAGCAGTTATTCAAGCTGCATTCTCGGAGCCTTCGTCAAAATTGTTCCACTTGATGCCTTTCAGGCGCATTTGGAAATCACCTACCACTGGACGTGAGCAGCGGCTATACGACGAGCTCTACACATCAGATGCGTGGATTCAGGCCCAGGACGAGCTCCAAAAACAAAGAAGGGACGATGGTTGTCGACTGGAGAGGGTGGTGGCAGGTCTTATGTTCTGGTCTGACTCTACTCGTCTTGCTCAGTTTGGGAATGCATCAACTTGGCCACTATATCTTTTCTTCGGAAATATGTCGAAGTATGTTCGTTCACGACCCAACTCCGCCGCTTGCCATCCTGTGGCTTTCATTCCCACTGTGAGCTTTTTTAAACATCTCAACCTCTGACAAGTGGTTAATTTACTCTGCATTTAGCTACCAGTATCGATTAAAAGCTTCATATGCACTTTTATGCAGAGAAAGAACATTGACGATGTGCTTACACATTGTAAGCGCGAGCTCTTCCATGGAGTTTGGCGCATCCTGCTGGATGAAGAATTTATTCACGCGTACAAGAATGGGATCGTTATCAAATGCCATGATGGGGTTAGTCGGCGCGTTTTCCCTAGGATATTCACATATTCAGCAGATTATCCAGAAAAGTAAGCCTTCTTTCATTTTTATTTTTATGACTATGTTTACTGACCACTACTATAGGGTTCTTCTGGCGACTACACGTGATAAAGGAATTTGCCCATGTCCTCGTTGTTTGACTCCAAAATCTCAGTTTAATCGCATCGGATACCTGCACGACCTATCGCAGAGAGTGAAACAGCTACGCACATATTTCACTGAAAAAGTGACACAAGCCCGCAATGCCATGTTCACATGCGGCGCTCCTATCAAAGGAGACTTAGTTGAGAGTATCCTGAAACCTTTTTCGTTGGTGCCTACAGTTGTAAGCTTGACCTTCTCACCGATGCGTGTAATGACTCATCTCAATGTACCTTTAGAATAGCTTTGTTGACCGCCTCTCACCGTTAGGTTTTGATTTTTTCCCTATCCTGGTTGTCGATCTGCTGCATGAGTTCGAGCTTGGAATAATCAAAGCCGTGATGACACATTTGATGCGGTTGCTCTATGCTATTGACCCACGGAAGATCGTCGTCGTCGATGAGAGGTATGGCGTTTATTTCAGATGTAGTCCTTGATGACATTCCGGGCATGCCAGGTTTCGGTCCATACCTTCATTCGGAAAGAGTTCCATTCGACGGTTCCCAAAGAACGTTTCATCAATGAAACAGCAGGTTGCTCGACACTTTGAAGATATGCTTCAAGTACGTTCTAGTTTTAGTTAAGATTCATACAAATAATTTTCGGAATACCACAGTGTGCGATACCAGTTTTTGAAGGGCTTTTCCCAGACAAGCACGATAACATTATCAGGATTCTGCTCTTCCATATGGCTGAATGGCACGCGTTGGCAAAATTGTGTCTGCATTCCAATGAAACTGTTGTCTTGCTTAGCCAGTCACTTCGAAAATTAGGGGCTCAACTTCGAAGGTTCAGCAAGTTCACTTGTTCGGCTTTTCGAACTTTCGAACTTCCGGGCGAGACAGCTGCACGTCACCGGAAGCCCAAGCATACGTCCGAATCCCAGCCCAGCGTGAAACCAGCTGGACCCCGACCAAAGTCGTTCAACCTCTTCACCTACAAATTGCATGCTCTCGGCGACTACATGCAATCAATAAAAGTATTTGGCACTACTGACTCGTACACTACTCAAATTGTCAGTACTCTATTCAAGCCTAACATACGTCCGTTCATGATTCACCCTTGATGCAGGGAGAATTGGCACATCGTGCCATCAAGAAATTTTACCAGATGACTAACAAAAAAGATGTATCAAAGCAGCTCGCGCGACATGAAAGGCGGCAGACACGCTTAAGGCGGCAGCAGAATCTTCAAACAGAGGAACCTGCCATGTCACTGCCAGAGCTTCACCACCACCTATCAGACTCGTGGGCCAATAGCGTTAATCTTGCAGCTTTCCTCAGCAGCAATTCTGGTGATCCCGCAGTTAAGGTAAGCCTTGATCTTTTGTGCGGATCAT